TCAGGCCACTGGAGTAACGTACCGAGTCCCACACTTGTAAGCCATGGAGTAAAATCGGACTCAGTGCCGTAGGGCGCAGGGCAGGAGGAAGCCATAGAGGCATCAATGTTCCAATAGGAGAACAATTAGGTAGTTCCAGCAGGACCCAGAGAGGAATGTCTGAGGAAGCGTGCAACATAGACAGCGGGCAATCTGGCTCACCTGATAATACTTAGTTACATTAGGCACGCCAAGACCACCCTGGAGTCTACGAACAAAAAGCGTAGTTCTGGAGACTCTGGGGCGCTTATCGGCCCAGATAAAACTCATAATCTTCGCCTGAATCAACCGAAGAAAATGAGGAACACGCACTGGAAGGGTGCGAAAATAGTATAACAATTTCAGCAAGATGGACATTTTCACTGAATTAACCCGTCCTATCCAAGACAGGTGCGGAAATTGCCAAGAGTGCATAAGAGAGGACACAGAGCGAAGCAATGGATAATAATAATAAGAGAAGAGGAAGCCCATTTGTAAGGAAAGAGGGACTGTAGGTGTGAAACCAAATCTGAGGCCAAGGTAATATTGAGAGCAACAGTCTTATCCAAATTAATACAGAGACCCGAAATCAAGGAGAAGCGCTCAAGAACCTGTTGCAAGTTTGGAAGCGTCGTCAGGGGATTAGTGAGAGCATCGTCTGCAAAAACGTTCAACTTGAACTGCTGTCCCATGTATGGAACCCCCGATACATTACAATCGGTCCAGAGCGCCAAAGCCAGCGGCTCAAGAGCCAGGACAAAGAGCGCCGGGGATAGGGGGCAGCCTTGTCTCATCCCTCGCCAAATAGGAAAGGGATCTGAGAAATACCCAGTGTACTTAACGGAAGCCGAAGGGGAAGAATACAAAGCTTGAATCCAAGAAAGAATAGAATCCTCAAAACCCCAACGAGACAGCACCATAGATATTCCCAGGATAGAGAATCAAAGGCTTTTATATATGTCTAAGGACAGTAAGAATCCCGGGATTTTCCGCTGTTGTAGAAAATGTATAAGATGGACCACCTTATGAACGTTATCACCCGCCTGCCTCCCAGGGACGAAACCCACTTGGTCCCTGTGGACCAGACTACGCAAATATTTATTGATACAAAAACTAAGAATCTTGCCCAATATCTTCAGGTCTTCATTAAGAAGAGAAATGGGCCAGAAGGCTTGCGGCTCCTGCACAACATTGGTCGTTTTAGGAATCATGGAGATATGAGCTCTAAGTGCGTCCGGAGAGGGCAAAGAGCCCTGTCATAACTCATTAAAATAGTCAGCCAAGAAGGGCGCTAACAGGGTTGCAAATTTCTAATAATAAAGACCGGAGAAGCCGTCGGGACCTGGGGCCGCGGTGGACCATAGAGATTTGATAGCTTAGAGCACTTCTGATATGGTGACACCAGCGTTGAGGGCCATCTGCGCTACCTCGGATAATCCAGGAAGTCGGAGATGTTGGAGGAATGCCTCTGCCTGAGCCACGGGGAAGGGATCTGGTTTAGCGTAAAGGCACGAAAGGAAGTCTGTGAAACAGGAGAACATCTGCTGGGGATTAGAAGTACAGCCACCCGCGGGAAATCGTATCGGAGCGATTTATGGGGTTTCCCCACAAAACTGAGTTTCCTGGCCAGCATCGGACCCGGCTTATTAGCACAGGAATAAAATGTGCGTTTGGTCCAACGCAGGCCCGTTCTGCCTCTGAAGAGGCAAGTAGGTCCAACTCTGCCACCAGAGCATCCTGTGCGCGTTTATGATCCAACGAGCATCCGCAGAGGCCAGTAGAGAATGAAGCTCCAAAAGTCGCCCGCTCCCGCTTCTGAACCGCCACAAGCTGTATAACATGACCCTGCACCGTGGCTTTATGCGCCTCCCACAGGGGCACTGCCGAAGAGACAGACCCCGAGTTTTCCATGAAGTATGTGCGTAAGAAAGATTCTATTTGTTAGCAGGTAACCCGAGTGGTCAATAAAGAATCATTAATGCGCCAGTGAAAGGGGCGCCGTACTGACTCAGAGAGGGCAAGGAAGAGTACCAGGGGATCATGGTCCGACCAGGGCAAGGAGGGAATAGCTATCCACCTGACCAAGGGAAGCTGCTGAACATGCATGAATATATGGTCAATTCTACAAAAACTGTCATGAGGGTTGGAATAGAATGTACAGTCTTGCTCAGTTGGGTGAGTTCCCTCCATACGTTCGCCAGCCCCGCCGTCTGCAAGAGAGAGGGCATACGTTCCTCTAGCACTAAGTCATGAGAAGGGGCCGTCCCCCGGGCATAGCACCTCTTCCATGTGGAATCCAAGGTAACATTTGAATCTCCCAAAAGAAGAAGACCCTTGGAGTGTCGGGAAACAATGGTGCAAAGATGAGAAAAGAATTTATGCTGAAAGCGATTGGGCGCGTAGTAAGAGACAAAAGTAACCTCCTGGTCCCAGAGGGTGCCCTGCAAAAGCAAATACCTGCCCATGGGGTCCGCTATATTCCGAGCACAGACAAAAGAAAGATTGTGTTTGAAAGCTATCAATACTCAGGAGCTGAGGCCGTGTAAAAGGTGGGATAATGAGATGAAAGATACCGTGGAGCGGAGGACTGAAAAAACCTGGTCTCCTGTAAACATACCACATCAATTTGTTGCGATTTGAGGTGATGAAAAACTTTAGCCTGCTTCTGAGGCGAATTGAAGCCTTGAACATTTTGTGAGTGCACTTTCAGAAGGGGTGAGGCCATGGCGGTATCAGCACAGCACGCTCCACAGAAGAAGCATAAGTCGGCCAACAATTTCAACTCCCAATGGCGTTCAGACCATGGCATCCCAAAACCCTGCATTAAAAAAAAAAAAAAAAAAAGAAGAAAAAGAAAACAAGAAAAGAAAATGACACAAGAAGTTTATACAACAGTACAAACGTGTCACGCCAATGATGACATGCATCCTCCTACACTTGAAGGATACCAGTTGGGGGTGGCTCTACCACCGGACGCATGGCTGCAAATGAAAACATCAAAAACATAAGCCCTCAGGGGGCCAAAAGGCAATAAACACAATTTAACGGGGTACCAAAGTAATAAAATATAAGTCTCAGAAGTGAGAACATCCCTAGTAACCTCCCCATAGAAGCCCAGCTAAACTAGGGGGCCAACCCCCTCTAGGAGGATGACTACAGTCCGCCGTGGTACCTCACACCACAGCCCAAGTGGTCCCCACACACCTCCCCGTAGGACCGGCACCCAACCTTGGCCCATCAGGCCAACCTCCCACCCGGAGCCCGAGGGAACCATCACCCCATTCCACCAATGGGAACCCGAACAACGGCACCCGGATCCATGGTAGGCCACAACAGCAAAAAGTCATAATCCGTAAGTCCAGGAAGAGACCCCCCCCCACTCAGGGATGGAACCCAAGGGAACAGGCCAGATTAGGCCCAACCCGGAACACTAACAAACTGAAAAAGTCCTAAGGGCCAAATTCACGGTCCCGTCAGGAAAGTCCAATGGTGAAACACAACGTGGGTGATCCAAGATACATCTTCAGCCCAGAGAAGAGCAGGACAGACTTGATCGTAGAGGGGTCTGAGGGAGAGCCCTCTTCATGTAGGGCGACTGCTCCCAGAGGTGGCCCAGAGGAAGCGGACTAGCTGGGGATCAGAATGAATGAGCTGGGCTCTGAGTAGCGGCCTCTAGTGAAAGAAGGTGTAAAGATTCCAGGAGAGAGTGGCCCTCCTCTGGCGTGGCAACAGAGTGACTGCAGCCCTGGTAGTTGAAGGTGAGGCGGAACGGAAAGTCCCAGGCGTATTTAATTCTGTGGTTCACCAGGACCGAAGTGAAGGGTTTCAACTGGCGACGCTTCTGATGAGTGGTCTGGGAGAGGTCCGCGAAGAGCTGGTAGCAATGCCCCTGGAATCTGAGGTCTGGGTTGTTTCTGGACGCCAAGAGGATATTTTCCTTAGTGTGATAGTAAGTGAACTTGATGATAATGTCCCTCGGGGGCCCATCCAGTCGTCTGGGGCCCAATGCACGGTGTATGCGGTCGAATTCGAGTCGGTCAATGGGAATGGCGGGCGTCAGCTCTTGAAACAGAGCAGTAGCGGTGGAGGTGAGATCTGTGACTGTTTCTGGGATACCCCTTAATCGCAAATAGTCGCGGTTGGAACGGTTTTCAAAATCCTCAAGCCGGAGCAGTGCATCTGCTAATTCTTTCTTGATGTCACATAAATCCTGTTTGTGACTTTCAATGACCATGACCGCAGCGTCCATTTTATCTTCGAGATCGTTCATCCGATTGCCCAACTCCCAAATTTTTCGCGAGAGACGGTCGGCCAGCTTGGAGGTAGAGGAGACAATTCCGACTGCAGCATGGACTTGAGGCGGCGCTCCTGCATCCCTCTGAAGGGATGCCTCTGATGCCAGGTCGTCATCACCTCTGGAGTCCGGCCCACCCGCGGGTAGCGGCAGCAGGGAACCCGAAATCGAGGCCGGGGCTTCAGTTGCGGCCTCCGACGGAAGACACAGACTCTCAGCTGGGGCCCTGGAACCCTCTGGCGGCGGACCCGAAATCGAGGCCGCGGCTTCAAACGCGGCCTCTGGCAGGTAGGCTACTAATTCTGGTATGGGCCGTCGGGTGCTGGAGGTGCAGGCGGCCGCTGACTTCTTGCCCATCGGGGGCCAGGAGGAGTTGGAGGGAAGGCCAAACCCCCCCCCCCCCCCCCCCCCCCGAGGGCTGAAAATCATCCGATGTGCCCGGCGGCCGAGGAGCAGGCTTAGAATGCAGCCATCCCTGAAGCTGCTCACGAGCACCCCCCTGTCCTATTTATTTTGTATCCTGCTGTTTTGCTCCTGGGGTGCTGCTTGCAATTCTATTACTGATCCTTAGTCCATCACGTATGAAATAATGCTTTTTCATTGGGAACACTTTCATTGGTTATATTTTACATTTGAATTCTGTGTTTACAATGATATCTCTCTTTCCCTTTTTGTTTTTTAATTTTAGGTGCTATCTCTTGGGGAACTGCTACTCCCATGGATGTTGTCAAAACTCGTCTTCAAGCTGATAACTTATATAAACAAAAATATAAAGGAGTTAAAGACTGTATTTCACAAAGTTACCAAAATGAAGGTCTTCAGGTAAAGCAAATTAGACATTCTGTATTGATATTACAGCAGTGCATTTGCAAAAACTGAAGAATCAGTATATGTAGCAGTTGAAATGTTACTTGAAGATACAAGTGGGGGGCCTGGAACAGTTCAGCAGATACCTGATCTACTCCTGCCTCGCAATTCCTTTCCTCAACCCATGCACCCTTGCAGCAATAGATCTTTTTTAATAATGATCTACTGCTGTTGGGAGATAGAGGACAGAGTTTGTCAGAGTGCAGGAGCAGGTCGAGTAAGCTCCTAGGCTCAGTGCTAGACCACAGCTGACCTGACACTCAGCAGTTCCAGCACCAAAACCATTGGAGATACTGGCATGAGCAGACTGCATTGCTCAAAACCTGAATTGAGGTCTGGAGAACAGCAGACCTCATGCTCAAAACTGACAGCCTTGTGTTGGTCACCATTCTTCAACCCATGCACTCTTGAAGCAACAGAACATTCCTAATAGTGAGCTACTGCTGTTGGTCACCATTGATTTAGACTTTCACTGATACCCAATGGCATTGCTCGACAAATTAGGTGTGTGCTTCTTTTGACACATTGTAACATTTTATAAACCATCAGCATTTTAAAAAATTCATGGTTTTCATGGTTTTTATCTTTTGTTGCATCTTACTGCTGCTGATCACCTACAGCCTTATTGCTGCTCTGCCTGTCTACTTGCATACACTCCAGTGATTGCTGCAGGTGACAACACTAAAGCACAGTTGTGAGAAGGGGACAGAACTTTGTCACCCTATAACAGATACTTGAAGGAGGACCTTCATTGCAGTGTCACCTGGTATTATTTTAAAGACTACTTCCAGTTTTGAAAATCCAGAATTGCGTTCTAGAATTACCATCTAGCATTAAGTTAATATATGCAAGAAATACTATAATTGTGGGAATGAAGAAGACATTAATAAGGATGCCCAAAGATATCTAATTTTTAGTCATGGGGCAGGCTTTCTTACTCAGGCTGTAGCTGTTTAATAATAAAAAATGAACTGTGGCACATTGCAAACCTTTTATTTGAATGCACCTAAAATGTAATTAGTTCTTTTAAATTGTATTTGATTTGGGATTTACATTAGAAATATAAGTCTGGCAGTAGGGTCTCTTTAATTGCAGTTGAGGCAGCTATGAATATGAGCTTAAATCTCTTATTAACAAGCAATTACTATATCATGTGTAGCCCTAGCATTACTGAGGTTATTATCACTACATATCACGCGTGCAGACATGCAGGAAATACTTACAGATGATGTGATTACAGGTATTTCCTGTACAAAAAAAGGAGGTCTGTTCAATCAGTTCTTATATGACCTCCAACATATTGGCCACAGCATTACACCTTCCTAAGGTTTCAGAAATGTTTTGTAATGAGAATTGTTTAATTTGAGTTTGTGTATATAGTGATGAGTGAATATGCCAAATACGAACTTCTAAGCACTAACTCAAAAGGTAATACACTATGTTCATAAGTTACATTGTAACATGGTATGAGAGGATGCTAGTTAAATGCAATTGAATGCATTCAGTGGTACTAAATGGCAACTGTATTGAAGGATGTACTAAAAATGCCTGTCTGACATCACCTTTAACCCATTCACTGACAGGCTGCCACATCATTTCTGCAACTTTCACTTTTTGCTATTCTTCACTAATTTGCTATGAAAGCTTGCAAAAGACTCCCCACCACCACCAAACCATACCTTTTTCTAAAAGCACAGGACCAGTAGAATTAAAAGATAAAACTGTAAGTTAATAGATAACAGATGTTTTGTAAAATTTAAACTGTAGGCTTTTGTGAAATGGTTCCTGCAAATAAGCAACTTAAGCAAACCTTAAAATAGTTTTAAACTCAAAACTATTTTTTTCTTTTACCTAAATGCACTCTTTGCAGTAAAGTAAAAAAAAATGTCCAATACTTGTCCTCCTACCCATCCCTAAACACTTACCCATGTACTCTGTTGAACTACTTCTGTCCCTGGCTGCAGCACTGCTTTCTCTTCCTGGCCTCACAGGAGACACTCAGAACAGCAGGAGCATTTATGAATGCACACAGCCTAGCTCGGAAGCACACCCACATGAGTGGCCCTATAGCACATGACTAGGGGCGGACTGACAACTCATGGGGCCCCCTACTGACCCCCGGCCCTTGGGCAGTGCCCAAGTTTCCAAATGGTCAGTCCACCCCTGCACATGACTTGCTATGGGAGCACCTGCAAGAGGAATTACAGGGCACTTCTGTGCAATATTCTTGGACAGAGCAGGTAAGTTTAATATCTTTAATATCACTTTAGGTTGGTGTTACACCTATGTGTTGTGGTAACACACGAAGGGCAATGCGTTGTGGTGCTATTCATTTTTAATGACACCCAAATGTACCTTGCTAGTGCACCTAAATGCATGTGTGTTTTAGCATATCACAATGCACATATGCAAACCATCTGTGCGTTGTGCTGCACTTTGTTAAAAAAAAGGGGTCAGATCGGAAGAATAAAATTAGGCTTACGCTTATGTCCACAGCAGGAAAAGGCTTTACTTTCTTTTTTCTTTTGAAATTTTTTTTTTTTACTGTCACGTTACTGATAACTCCCTATGTGACAGAAGTCATGAGATCTCATCAGAGAGGCTTAGGGCTCTCTGGAGATTCATGTAGTGATTGGATGACTCTGAATTGATCTTTCCTCTTCTAGTAAGGAAGAGTTTTGCTTTGTGGAGACATCAGAAATCTAAATAAAACACTGATGCCTACTCTTTGTGCTGAATGTGGAGGTCATAAGCTTGGAGATGGAAAACTGAGCATAAACATGGAAGTGCTCAAAGTGTACTTTGTTTCAATTATTACAAAGGAGATTGTTGAAACTGAGCGAATTACTTCATTTTAGCACAGTTTCAATATTTGCTGGAAAACAATAGTTAGAGATGAGCGAATCGAACTAGGCGAACCGGAATTCGAGTCGAATTTCAGGAAATATTCGATTCGTGTCGAAACCGAAATTTTGCCTACTTCGGGTGCGCGAATCGAACATTTCCCGATCAGCCGGCAAAAGTGTCCCTGCAGTGAGCTCCGCTATTTCTGACAGTTCTCTGACAGAAGGAACACATGTTTAGCGGTTGAAACATTGTATCTATTAGTTTACATTTAGGATACAGATGTTTCAACCACTGTACATGTGAAGAAGTTGTGAGAGAACTGTCAGAAATAGAGGAACTCTGCACATACACTTTTTGCCGGCTTGGAATTATTCTTCTTTTCATCCTACTTCTTCTTCTTCTTCATCCTCAGAAGAAGAGGATGAGGATGAGGATGAAGAAGAAGAAGAAGAAGAAGAAGAAGAAGAAGAAGTAGGATGAAAAGAAGAATAATTCCAAGCCGGCAAAAAGTGTATGTGCAGAGTTCCTCTATTTCTGACAGTTCTCTCACAGCTTCTTCACATGTACAGCGGTTGAAACATCTGTATCCTAAAATAGAGGAACTCTGCACATACACTTTTTGCCGGCTTGGAATTATTCTTCTTTTCATTCTTCTTCTTCTTCCTCATCCTCATCCTCATCCTCATCCTCTTCTTCTGAGGATGAGGATGAAGAAGAAGAAGAAGAAGAAGTAGGATGAAAAGAAGAATAATTCCAAGCCGGCAAAAGTGTATGTGCAGAGTTCCTCTATTCTGCAGACACTTTTTGCCGGAAACCGCTGTATGGAGTGAATGTCCCAGAACTGTCAGAAATAGACTATTTATGACAGTTCTGGGACATTCACTGCATACAGTCTGTGTTTTAACCGCTGTATGGAGGGAATGTCATGGAACTGTCAGAAATAGACTATTAATGACAGTTCTGGGACTGTCCTTCAATGCAGCGGGTTGAAACATTGTATGTATTTGTTTCCATAAATGGATCCATTTTATGGAAACAAATACATACAATGTTTCAACCGCTGCATGGAAGGACAGTCCCAGAACTGTCATTAATAGTCTATTTCTGACAGTTCCATGACATTCCCTCCATACAGCGGTTTAAAACAGCTGTATGGAGTGAATGTCCCAGATCTATCAGAAATAGACTATTTATGACAGTTCTGGGACATTCACTGCATACAGCTGTTTTAACCGCTGTATGGAGGGAATGTCATGGAACTGTCAGAAATAGACTATTAATGACAGTTCTGGGACTGTCCTTCCATGCAGCGGTTTGAAACATTGTATGTATTTGTTTCCATAAATGGATCCATTTATGGAAACAAATACATACAATGTTTCAACCGCTGTATGGAAGGACAGTCCCACAACTGTCATTAATAGTCTATTTCTGACAGTTCCATGACATTCCCTCCATACAGCGTCTTTTAAAACAGCTGTATGGAGTGAATGTCCCAGATCTATCAGAAATAGACTATTTATGACAGTTCTGGGACATTCACTGCATACAGCTGTTTTTAACCGCTGTATGGAGGAAATGTCATGGAAACTGTCAGAAATAGACTATTAATGACAGTTCTGGGACTGTCCTTCAATGCAGCGGTCTTTTTTGAAACATTGTATGTATTTGTTTCCATAAATGGATCCATTTATGGAAACAAATACATACAATGTTTCAACCGCTGCATGGAAGGACAGTCCCAGAACTGTCATTAATAGTCTATTTCTGACAGTTCCATGACATTCCCTCCATACAGCGGTTTAAAACAGCTGTATGCAGTGAATGTCCCAGATCTATCAGAAATAGACTATTTATGACAGTTCTGGGACATTCACTGCATACAGCTGTTTTTAAAAGTAAAAAAAACCGCTGTATGGAGGGAATGTCATGGAACTGTCAGAAATAGACTATTAATGACAGTTCTGGGACTGTCCTTCAATGCAGCGGTTGAAACATTGTATGTATTTGTTTCCATAAATGGATCCATTTATGGAAACAAATACATACAATGTTTCGACCGCTGCATGGAAGGACAGTCCCCAGAACTGTCATTAATAGTCTATTTCTGACAGTTCCATGACATTCCCTCCATACAGCGGTTTAAAACAGCTGTATGGAGTGAATGTCCCAGATCTATCAGAAATAGACTATTTATGACAGTTCTGGGACATTCACTGCATACAGCTGTTTATAAAAAACCGCTGTATGGAGGGAATGTCATGGAACTGTCAGAAATAGACTATTAATGACAGTTCTGGGACTGTCCTTCCATGCAGCGGTTGAAACATTGTATGTATTTGTTTCCATAAATGGATCCATTTTATGGAAACAAATACATACAATGTTTCAACCGCTGCATGGAAGGACAGTCCCGGAACTGTCATTAATAGTCTATTTCTGACAGTTCCATGACATTCCCTCCATACAGCGGTTTAAAACAGCTGTATGCAGTGAATGTCCCAGATCTATCAGAAATAGACTATTTATGACAGTTCTGGGACATTCACTGCATACAGCTGTTTTAACCGCTGTATGGAGGGAATGTCATGGAACTGTCAGAAATAGACTATTAATGACAGTTCTGGGACTGTCCTTCCATGCAGCGGTTGAAACATTGTATGTATTTGTTTCCATAAATGGATCCATTTATGGAAACAAATACATACAATGTTTCAACCGCTGCATGGAAGGACAGTCCCGGAACTGTCATTAATAGTCTATTTCTGACAGTTCCATGACATTCCCTCCATACAGCGGTTAAAACAGCTGTATGCAGTGAATGTCCCAGATCTATCAGAAATAGACTATTTATGACAGTTCTGGGACATTCACTGCATACAGCTGTTTTAACCGCTGTATGGAGGGAATGTCATGGAACTGTCAGAAATAGACTATTAATGACAGTTCTGGGACTGTCCTTCCATGCAGCGGTTGAAACATTGTATGTATTTGTTTCCATAAATGGATCCATTTATGGAAACAAATACATACAATGTTTCAACCGCTGCATGGAAGGACAGTCCCAGAACTGTCATTAATAGTCTATTTCTGACAGTTCCATGACATTCCCTCCATACAGCGGTTAAAACAGCTGTATGCAGTGAATGTCCCCAGATCTATCAGAAATAGACTATTTATGACAGTTCTGGGACATTCACTGCATACAGCTGTTTTAACCGCTGTATGGAGGGAATGTCATGGAACTGTCAGAAATAGACTATTAATGACAGTTCTGGGACTGTCCTTCAATGCAGCGGTTTTTTGAAACATTGTATGTATTTGTTTCCATAAATGGATCCATTTATGGAAACAAATACATACAATGTTTCAACCGCTGCATGGAAGGACAGTCCCAGAACTGTCATTAATAGTCTATTTCTGACAGTTCCATGACATTCCCTCCATACAGCGGTTTAAAACAGCTGTATGGAGTGAATGTCCCAGATCTATCAGAAATAGACTATTTATGACAGTTCTGGGACATTCACTGCATACAGCTGTTTTAACCGCTGTATGGAGGGAATGTCATGGAACTGTCAGAAATAGACTATTAATGACAGTTCTGGGACTGTCCTTCCATGCAGCGGTTGAAAACATTGTATGTATTTGTTTCCATAAATGGATCCATTTATGGAAACAAATACATACAATGTTTCAACCGCTGCATGGAAGGACAGTCCCAGAACTGTCATTAATAGTCTATTTTCTGACAGTTCCATGACATTCCCTCCATACAGCGGTTGAAACCGCTGTATGGAGTGAATGTCCCAGAACTGTTCAGAAATAGACAGAAACTGTCACAGAACTGTCCCTTCTTCTCATCCTTCTCCTTCTTCTCATCCTTCTTCTCATCCTTCTTCTCATACCTCTCACCTTCTTCTCATCCTTCTCCTTCTTCTCATCCTTCTCCTTCTGCTCATCCTTCTTCTCATCCTTCTCCCTTCTTCTCATCCTTCTCCTTCTCCTTCTTCTCATCCTTCTCCCTTCTCCTTCTTTATTTTCATCCTTCTCCTTCTCATCCTTCTCCTTCTCCTTCATCAACCTTCTCCTTCTTCTCATCCTTCTCCTTCTTCTCATCCATTCACCTTCTCCTTCTCCTTCTTCTCATCCTTCTCCTTCTCCTTATCATCCTTCTCCTTCTTCTCATCCTTCTCCTTCTCCTCATCCTTTTTCTTTCTCATCCTTCTCCTTTCTCCTTCTTCTCATCCTTCTCCTTCTTCTCATCCTTCTCCTTCTTCTCATCCTTCTCCTTCTTCTCATCCTTCTCCTTCTTTCTCTTCTTCTCCTTCTTTCATTCTCCTTCTTCTCATCCTTCTCCTTCTTCTCATCCTTCTCATCCTTCTTCTCATCCTTCTTCTTCTCATCCTTCTCCTTCTTCTCATCCTTCTCGTCTCCTTCTCCTTCTTCTCATCCTTCTCATTCTTCTCATCCTTCTCCTTCTTCTCATCCTTCTCCTTCTCATCCTTCTCCTTCTCCTGTCTTCTCTTCCTTCTCAGATTCTTCTCATCCTTCTCCTTCTTCTCAACATCCTTCTTCAACAATTCTCATCCTTCCCTCCTTCTTCTCATCCTTCTTCTCATCCTTCTTCTTCTCATCCTTCTCTTCTTTTCCGATCCTTCTCCTTCTCCTTCTTATTTCATCCTTCTCCTTCTTCTCATCCTTCTCCTTCTCATCTTTCTCATCCTTCTCCTTCTTCTCATCCTTCTCCTTCTTCTCATCCTTCTCCTTCTCTTCTTCCTTCTTCATCCTTTTCCTTTCTTATCATCCTTCTCCTTCTTCTCATCATTCTCCTTCTTCTCATCCTTCTCCTTCTTCTCATCCCTTCTTCTTCTCATTCCTTTTCCTTCTTCATCCTTCTTCTTCTCATCCTTCTTCTTCTCATCCTTCTCCTTCTCACAACCTTCTCTTTCTTCTCATCCTTCTCCTTCTCCTTCTTCTCATCCTTCTCCTTCTTCTCATCCTCTCCTTCTCCTTCTTCTCATCTTCCTTCTCCTTATTCTCAGCCTCTCTTCTTCTCATCCTTTCCTTCTCATCCTTCTCCTTCTCATCCTTCTCCTTCTTCTCATCCTTCTCCTTCTTTCATCCTTCTCCTTCTCCTTCTTCTCATCCTTCTCCTTCTCCTTCTTCTCCATCCTTCTCCTTCTCCTTCTTCTCATCCTTCTCTTCTTCTTCTCATTCCTTCTCCTTCTTCTCATCCTTCTCCTTCTCCTTCTTCTCATCCTTCTCCTTCTCCTCATCCTTTTTCTTCTCATCCTTCTCCTTCTCTCTTCTTCTCATCTTCTCCTTCTTCTCATCCTTCTCCTTCTTCTCATCCTTCTCCTTCTTCTCATCCTTCTCCTTCTTCTCATCCTTCTGAGGAGATTTTCTCCTTCTTCTCTTCCTTCTCTCTTCTTATCATCCTTCTCCTTCTTCTCATCATTCTCATTCTTTTCTCATCCTTCTTCTTCTTCTCATCCTTCTTCTTCTCATCCTTTCCTTCTTCTCATCCTTCTTCTTCTCATCCTTCTTCTTCTCATCCTTTCTTCTTCTCATCCTTCTCTTTCTTCTCATCCTTCTCCTTCTCCTTCTTCTCATCCTTCTCCTTCTTCTCATCCTTCTCCTTCTTTCATCCTTTCCTTTCAGCCTTCTTCTTTCCTTATTCTCAGCCTTCTTCTTCTCATCCTTCTCCTTCTCATCCTTCTCCTTCTCATCCTTCTCCTTCTTCTCATCCTTCTCCTTCTTCTCATCCTTTCCTTCTCCTTCTTCTCATCCTTCTCCTTCTCCTTCTTCTCATCCTTCTCCTTCTCCTTCTTCTCATCTTCTCCTTCTTCTCATCCTTCTCCTTCTTCTCATCCTTCTCCTTCTCCTTCTTCTCATCCTTCTCCTTCTCCTCATCCTTTTTCTTCTCATCCTTCTCCTTCTCCTTCTTCTCATCCTTCTCCTTCTTCTCATCCTTCTCCTTCTTCTCATCCTTCTCCTTCTTCTCATCCTTCTCCTTCTTCTCCTTCTTCTCATCATTCTCCTTCTTCTCATCCTTCTCCTTCTTCTCATCCTTCTCATCCTTCTTCTCATCCTTCTTCTTCTCATCCTTCTCCTTCTTCTAATACCTTCTCCTTCTCCTTCTTCTCATCCTTCTCCTTCTTCTCATCCTTCTCCTTCTCATCCTTCTCCTTCCTTCTTCTCTTCCTTTTCCTTCTTCTCATCCTTCTCCTTCTTCTCATCCTTCTTCTTCTTCATCCTTCTCCTCCTTCTTCTCATCCTTCTTTCATCTTCGTCTTCCTTCTTATTCTCATCCTTCTCCTTCTTCTCATCCTTCTCCTTCTCCTTCTTCTCATCCTTCTCCTTCTTCTTCATCCTTCTCCTTCTTCTCATCCTTCTCCTTCTTCTCATCCTTCCCTTCTTCTCATCCTTCTCCTTCTCCTTCTTCTCTTCTTGTCCTTCTTATCATCCTTCTCCTTCTTCTCATCATTCTCCTTCTTCTCATCCTTCTCCTTCTATCATCCCTTCTTTCTTTTTCCTTTTCACCTTCTTCTCATCTTCTTCTTCTCATTCTCATCCTTCCTTCTTCTCATCCTTCTTCTCATGCCTTCATTTTTCCTTTCTCATCCTTCTCTTTCTTCTTCTCATTCTCTCATAATTCTCCTTCTTCTCATCCTTCTCCTTCCTTATCATTCTCCTTAAATCTTCTCATCCTTCTCCTTTCTTCTCATCCTTCTCCTTCTTCTTTCTCCTTCTCCTTCTTCTCTTCTCATTCTCATTTCTTCTCATAACCTTCTTTATTATCCTTCTTCTCATCCTTCTCCTTCTTCATAATCATCCTTCTCCTTCTCCTTTCTTCTCTGAATCCTTCTCCTTCTCCTTCTTCTATCCTTCTCCTTCTCTAATTGATGATATTAATTACCCAGAATAACAAGCCCCGAACCCGCAGCACTTCTTCTCATCCTTCTCCTTCTTCTCATCCTTCTCCTTCTTCTCACCCTTCTCCTTCTCCTTCTTCTCATCCTTCTCCTTCTCCTTCTTCTCATCCTTCTCCTTCTCCTTCTCCTTCCTCATCTCCAAGGGCATTTAAATTAAAGGTACAGTGTTCTGCACTAATTTAAAGGCTCTCTGAAGCCTAGAAACCCTTTAAATAAGTCATCTTCGTAGCGGAGAAATTCGCATCGAATCGAATTTCACACTGGAATTCGCCGAATCAGCCGAATCGAATTTTTCATTTCTTCGCTCATCTCTAACAATAGTAGTTAAGTGATTGGTTTTTGCTTGTTGCCTAGAATTGTTCTTTCAACTTGACTGGATGTCTAAAAGTAAACAGTTTCACTGGTTACAGAAGAATTCCTCCAGTAGTACTATTCCCTCAATATTTATTTCCTAGGTCCATAAATCCAGTCATGGAAAAAATGTTACATATATTTTAAAGTAGATGTTGAATATGTTATTTATATTTCTGTTTCATGCACTTTTTATATGTTTTATTATCAGGCTAGTGTTTTAATTTTGAAGCATTCCATATCATACAGTACATTCCTGATTTATAGAAAAAAATAGCCTTACCTGCTAATTCTAGATAGTGTTGAATTTTCTCCCAGTTGCAATATATTGAGGGTAATACCTGTAATGAAGGAATATTTTTCTCTGGAATTTTGGCACATTTCTTGTACATATACTGTATTTATTGATATATCTTGAATGCCTCTCTAGTAGTAAAGTACCGTGACATTTATTAGAATGTCTTTTCTGTTGTAGGTACAGTTGACTTATGACCACTCTTTGTTAAAAGTACACATTAGAGGCATATTTAAAAGAGAGAGCTACCTGCTCTGTGCTGGATACTACAGTGTGTCTTAATATTACAAGGACTGCAGCATTATGCTGAAGAGAACACTCTAATAAGAGGATAGGCCGCTCATATGACTTTCACATGTCATGTGACTGGTCTGTCATCTCAGAGAATTGTTTTCCATTCATGAAAATGAAGAAGGATATGCTTGCTCTGAAATCCGAAGACAAGCAAATCGCTAAACAAATATATAAAGCACACCATTGCTTTATAAATGTTCTGTTGTGTTTTTTTTTAGTTTTTTTATTAAAGCAGTGGTATGGCTGTAGTAAACCCATACTGTTTTCTGTTAGTGCACACATCCTTTTCTTCCCCCTCCCCTGCCTCCAGCACATTCACAATAGATCATGCTTACCTACAGCCATGCCCCTGTGAGATCTCATTGTGAGGCCTTCCTTCCACCTCATGTCCTTCTTCAGTCTGTTGTGGTCACTATTCACTTCAATACAAAGCCTATCTGTTAGCCCATCAAGCCAGTTGAAAAAAACTTGGCTTTCAGACCCTACTATAGAAAGTATAATCAGACTGTAATAATGCATTATTACTATTATAAACTATAATCAAGTGAGAAGCCTATGGATCATCTCAGACAAAGTCAACAGAGCTTTCTCATTAAATAAATGTTTTTGGGTGAGTTGAATTGTTTTTAGCACACCTACAGTAGGAAAGCTGTAGTGGCTATGTGAAGTATTACACAATTTAACTAGTTGTATAAATCCACTTATGAATTGCAAATATAACACATACCTATACATTATTTCAGGTCTTTTTTAGGGGAATCACAGTCAACACCATACGTGGATTCCCAGCGAGTGCTGCTATGTTTCTGACCTATGAACTTTCATTGAAAGCCTTGAAGACTAGAAAGGAATCTGACTAGTAGAAAAACAGGCATGAAGAGGTTGTAATACTACGAATTACATGTTGACTGTTTTTTAGTTTCTTGTTGCCAAGAAAACTACCTTGTTTAAGATATTCAGCAAGGAAGCTATCTAGAAGAACTTCTTCCTACCACACACTTAATGATAGTGAAAAAGGAAGGAAAGTTCTGAGTTGTTGCGTCACATAGATGAGGTCAAGATCCTAATCACACATCTACAATCAGATATCAGGAATGTACTGTAGTCTTGTTCCATTACTTTGTATGTTACCAAAAATAAAGAAGAGGCTTATGAAACGTGTGGGTTAATAGTATTTGTCTGTCATTTCTGTGAACATGGAATAATCACAATATCTTTTTTATGTCATTGTCTTACCAATCAATATTTGCAATGCACTAATTTTATTTCCCAAATGTATTATGACTCAACTGGCTTCTAGGTACTTGGGAAAATTAGTGGCTTTATGCTTTAAACATATTTCTAAATTCTGTAGCTAGAAAAAATGCCCATATTAGTGAACAGGCTTCATAGGTCCCTCCATGGGTGGAAAGACTACTAGTCTACCACTACAAGGCTTGCTTGCTTGACTGATCTGTCCACAAATCCAGCAGGTGAAGTGTTAATGTAGTTTAGGAGTATTGACTTTACTCTGAAACCGCTATCTAAAAGTAATTGTTTCTTGTCAGTGACTCAGAAAGTTTGCAAGTCAGAGAATCTGTATGACAGCCAGGCAGCTAGAATTTTTAGAAGTAGCTCAAGCTACACATACAGTATCTCTCAGAACTGAATTAATTTAAGATGTACCCTCACAGCCATCTGGACATTGTGGTATTCATCTACAGATGCCTGACTGCACAATCAATATGCCAGCTTCCTAGCAGCATAACAACATTTTCAGGTTCCAAGGATTCAAAGGTGCTCTAAAGGAGTAACTAATATGCATGGCACCTGTAGGGACATTTTCAAAGCTGGCATTTTATAATACTCAGTGCCAATACAGTACATGTTTATGTTAAAGTACACCTGTGCCCATTCTATAGAAATTCTATGGAAAGTATTTAAATACTATTAACAAGCAGCAAAAGAACTTTAAGCCCTTGTTCAACTCTCTGGTTGCATTTACAACATAGCAATTTGTTTTAAAATATCTTCAAAGATCACAACAAACACTCCCTATGTTAGGTTTCAGTTGCCTCTAACAGCTTAGAAACACCAGCTGGATGTTCACATTAGAGGGCTAACAGGCTATCATGGTTTGCTGAGTTTTTTTGCCTTTGTTGTGAAAAATAATTTTTTCCACAATGCCTATAGCTACAGAGGACACTTGCAGCTGATTTAGAAGTGCATTTACTGCTTGCTCAGAATATGTAAACACTTTAGTGTCCATTGTCTGGGCACAGGTTTACTTTAAGGAACAATAATCAGCTAGTGTAACCACACTTAACTGATGGTGGAACCAACGTTTACCCAGAGAAAATAATTCACTGGAGAATAGAACACACCCTGGTGTAAGTGTGTAACTATATCACCTCCTATTCTCACAGAGGAATGTAAATCTTAAAGAAAGAATAACAAAGCTATTTCCTCTATAAATACGCACATCTTGAAGGTACTCTGGTGTTTAGTCACTTATATTGTACAAAATAATCCTTCAAATTGTATAAAATGCCCAAGTGTAAAAACAATAAACCCCACTCCTCCGCCAATTTCACCTTCCACGTTACTCACATTGAAATTTGTGAACAGTTATAAAACCTTGTTTTGCACCATACTTGTCTTATTGCTGTTCTTGCATTGTTTTTTGGACAGTCTCTCAGTATTCTACCAGACAGGAAGTAAGGGAAACTCTATAGCAGTAACACCGTCAGAAATAAAAAAAAATGCTTCTCTTTAGTAACAAAACAAAAGACTAGAACCCCTGTCAAAAGTCATTTCTATGTTCCTGTTGCAGATTTTTACTGACTTTCTGTTGGAAAAAGCATCAGGAGGACAGGATGTGAGGGTAAATATTTATAACCGTGCCCCAGATTGCAGTAGAAATACAATCATCAAGGATACCTTTGTCTGAGGGATGTCACCTTTGATGAAATGTGTAGGGTAGGGCCTACGACAGTGATGTCATCACACATGAGACCACTGAGTGACGGCTGGGTCATTTCAGAAAAATCTGTAGGAACGCCAAAGCGATACTGATACAGTATGCTTGTGAAGCCCTTGTGGCTCTTTTTATGTGAGCGCATTTATAATAGTTTATTAAACCTTTAGTATATACAGTTTTACACTATGGAAGTGCTTTTGTTATTTTATTTTTGAGCAACCATGCAAAAGATGTAAGGGAGACCTTAACCCTTTGAGCCTTTAGCGCAGTTTGACCATCTGTGACACTGTGGTCTTTTTTTTCTGGTAAGGAGCTGCTTTTTTTCCTCTGGCTGGGGCACACTATCTGAATTTGGAATGATAACATGCTTGTTCTTTTCCAACACATGGTGATCTTTTTCTCAGCTTAAGAAGATCTTCTTTTCATCCTTGACCTATTACTTTGCTCTGTGAACTTTTATACACTGCTCAAAAAAAATAAAGGAACACTTTGAAAACACATCAGATCTCAATGGGGAAAATATCATGCTGGATATCTATACTGATATGGACTGAGTAATGTGTTAGGAATGTAAGGATGCCCCATCGTTTGATAGAAATGAAAATTATCAACCTACAGAGGACTGAAATCAAAAACACATAAAAAATCAAAGTGAACAAATGATGCAGCAGGCTAGTCAATTTTGCTGAAGCTTCATTGCAGCAACTCAAAATGGTACTCAGTAGTTTGTATGGCCCCCATGTGCTTGTATGCATACCTGATTCATACATGCACTTGACAATGTCGGTGCATGCTCCTAATGATACGACGGATGGTGTCCTGGGGAATTTCCTCTCAGATCTGGACCAGGGCATCACTGAGCTCCTGAGCAGTTTGAGGTGCAACCTGATGGCGTCAGATGGACCGAAACATGATATCCCAGAGGTGTTCTATTGGATTTAGGTCAGGCAAGCATGGGGGACATTTAATGGTATCAATTCCTTCATCGTCCAAGAACTGTCTGCATACACTGGCCATATGAGGCAAGGCATTGTCGTGCACCAGGAGGAACCCAGGACCCACTGCACTAGCGTAGTGTTACCCAATGGGTCCAAGGATTTCATCCTGATACCTAATGGCAGTAAGGGTGCCATTGTCTAGCCTGTAGAGGTCTGTGTATCCATCCATGGATATGCCTCTCCAGACCATCACTGACCAACCACCAAAACGGTCATACTCAATGATGTTACAGGCAGCGTAACATTCTCCACAGCTTCTCCAGACCCTTTCACATCTGTCACATGTGCTCAGGGTGAACTCATCTGTGAAAAGCACAGGGCACCAGTGGCGGACCTGCCAATTATGGTGTTCAATGGCAATGGTGCAGGGCAGTGCGTACAGGGCCCACTAGAGGATATCGGACCCTCAGGCCAGCCTCATGAAGTTTGTTTCTGATTGTTTGGTCAGAGACATTCACACCAGTGGCCTGCTGGAGGTCATTTTGTAGGGCTCTGGCAGTGCTCATCCTGTTCCTACTTGCACAAAGGAGCAGACACCGGTCTTGCTGATGGGTTTAGGACCTTCTACGGCCTTGTTCAGCTCTCCTAGAGGAACTTCCTGTCTCCTGGAATCTCCTCCATGCTCTTGAGACTGTGCTGGGAGACACAGCAAACCTTCTGGCAATGACACGTATTGATGTGCCATCCTGGAGGAGTTGGTCTGCCTGTGCAACCTTTGTAGGATCCAGGTATCACCTCATGCTACCAGTAGTGAATGGAGAAAGAACAAACAGAGGGCGCACCGGCCTAGTGCATTACCTTAAAAAATGTTTAATAAGAGATAAAATAGGTATTGTACTCACAAACGACGGTAACGTCAAAGGCACATCATGATAGAACAGCTTTGTCAAAACCGTGCTACCTTACTGTCCACAATAGGGAGTGTAGACATCCAATAGGCTAACGCATTTCGAGGACCTGCCTCTTCCTCAGTGGCTCTGAGGAAGAGGCAGGTCTTCGAAACGCTGTAGCCTATTGGATGTCTACACTCCCCATTGCAGATAGCAAAGTAGCACGGTTTTCACAAAGCTGTTCTTTCATGATGTGCCTTTGACTTTACTGTCGTTTGTGAGTACAATACCTATTTTTATTTCTTATTAAAAAAATTTTAAGGTAATGCACTAGGCCGGTGCGCCCTCTGTTTGTTCTTTCTCCATTCAGTACATTTGGATTTCCCTGGTCTTTTGAGGGCAGCAAGGTATGCATATTCCAGGACATTCATGATGTGGTCCTAGCCTACACTGAGTCCATCCCCAAGCACAGAAGCATTTGTGTTTGCTACCAGTAGTGACACTGACCCTAGCCAAATGCAGAACTAGTGAAAAACAGTCAAAAAAGATGAGAAGGGAAAATAATGTCATATGTACTCTCCAGCGCTTCAGGAAATGGACAGCCAAAAGGAAGCCAAGGGAATCAGGACAGAGATAACCAAAAGAAGATGCTTCAGGGGTGCAGCCCTCCTCAGACGGGGAGATCAGCCACTAGATAAAGAATAAACAGGTGGCTCATACCTGGGGTATCAGCAGCAACGTTGTTCTAACCATCGGTCCACCTTATTCACTACAGATCTGTACCAGTCTAAGAGGCTGGTCAGCAGCTCTGAGGAAAGGGACTCGTCCCCTAAACGCATCAACCATTTGACCGCACTGACAGTTGGAACACCTTGCTTGCTTACATACATGCTTCGTCTGTGAGTATGTTTTTATCTTTTATACCTTTGAATAAACCTTGGATAATGCACCAAGTGTGTGCGCCACCTGTTTATTCTTTAAAAAAGAGGCAGTGACCTCCACCTGTAAAATCATTCTTGTTTTGGGGGGTCATCTCATTGTTGCCCATCTAGTGTACCTGTTGTTAATTTCAA